CTTGTATTTTAGACATATCAGTTCATAATTATGAACTGTGATGGTAACTTTGACGGTGAAGTTTACCATAAAAACATTTACCGGTCGCGGTTTTAATTTTATCAGTTATATACGAACTGTGTCCAAAGAAAACTTGCAAAAGATTTTAGTTTATCGTGCATATAAAATCTCAATAATTTTTCCTTTAAGTGTTTTTTACTATTAAGAAATGTTTATGGAAAAATGATTCTCATTTATCTAATTAATCGAATACTTTGTGACTATTTGAACAAATGAAACTCTAGTAAGCTATCAACGTATGAAACTCCTAAGTGTTTATAACTTCGCAGTATGTTGGCAAATGTACTTTGTATGCTAAAAAACAGCTACAAACACTACGTCATAAAGTGTATCCACTTACATGACTGAGATGTGTTTTTAAACCAGAATATCATCTGTAGTAGTTCATCAGATATATATAAAGCCGTTTTTCTCCATGGGAAACATCAAATATAGTTTTTATTTTTTTCCTTGTAACAAACAAAGTTACGTCGGCTCTACTACAAGAAAGAGTAGGAACATGAAAATTTAAGAACGACAAATCAAACAAGTGTAATGGAGCGCTCCCTAGGTGAGTTTGACGTAATCGTACAATTTATTTTAAAATCTGTTTGTTTGTTGTTAAGCACAAAGCTACACTAAGTGCTACCTTTGCTCTGCCCAATACGGTATCAAAACTCGGTTTTTAGCGTTGTAAGTTCGCAGACATATCGCTATGCCACTGGGATTGATGATGAATAAAGCGTTAGTTCGTATCAATACAACCAATCACAGCAACAAAAAAAATATCTGAAGTTTCATTTCAACTGCATACAGCTCAGCATTCTGAAGTGAATGGGAAGAAAATGTATAAAAATGAAGTTAATCTGGAAGACAAATCTGAAATAAACAGACTCTAAAATAATACAAAATGTATCTGAAGATTGGCTTTGAAAATGTTTGATTCTGGAAAATAAGCCATTTCAATGAACAGAATGTTGTTGAAACATAGTCGTTAGGTTCATGCTTCATGCAAATAAATTCATTATTTTCCAGATTAACATGGGCAGAACTCCATGAACATGTGATCTGATGATTTTCTTTTGTCTCAATCATATTTTTCAGGTATTACAAAGAAAATAATAAAAGCGTTTTTTGTCATAGTAAGTTCAGTATTGTTGTAAATTACACTTTATGATCATAATTACAATTCTTAAGGAGTTGTAATTGACAATTTAATTGTTTTTTCCTGAAAAATGTTTTTTGAGTATTATATAATAAAAAATTAAATCCTAAATAAGATACGGAAAAACAATGTAAGTAAAAAAATAAATACGAAATCTTGAAACGCTTTCGTAGTGAAATAATTTTGCTTTCGTCTGCATGTCAATGCATACAATTCAGTTTACATTAGGTTGGTTAGTCAGTTAATTCTTTTAACCAACCAGTTTTAGGCTAACACATGGGCTTAATGAAGTTAACAGTAAAATGTGACTGACTATTAAGTATTTATTATGCTAACTAAAGCCTATACTAGTATGGCGGATAAATTAACAAGTTATTAGTAAAATTTGACAGAAGTACTAAACGTTTTATTTATTGACTAACATACATGCCTTCATAAATGGCGCATGACTAAACAAAAACATCACTTATGCGAGATAAGTTTTATTATTAATTTTATTCAATTTTATAATTTCACACATCAGTGATAAAATAGTTTAAAACCAATCTTGTACGTTATATTCAAATGATTTTGGAACCTAACAACGTCGTCACAGTCCATGTCACCACATCAAATCATGTTCTGGCCGTGCGTTTTAACAATATCTCTGCAGCGCAGATTCCATTGCACCGTCATATCTCTGTCATACCCAAAGCGAAGAATATCCGTCTGAAATAAGGTAAGGGTTCAACAAAACAATTCTTACAATCATACCTCCCATTCACATGTTGCATACCTCAAGTAGCTGGAAGACGAAACAGGTGCATATGATCTTACAAATGAAGACATACTGGTCAAGCCTCCTAAGTGCCCCCCAGTGGCACAGCGGTATGTCTGCGGACTTACAACGCTAGAAACCGGGTTTCGATACCCGTGGTGGGCAGAGCACAGATAGCCCTTGTGTAGCTTTGTGCATAATCAAAAACAAACAAAGCCTCCTAAGAATTTTATTGCGATTAGAGTGTTCAAACGGGCGCTGGAAAACTATCGTCCTCGTACACTACATGGATTATGAAAGCACAAGGGAGGAAAGGTATTTGATTATATTTCGTGCTGTTGCCTGTAGATGGAGTTTATCACTCACATTTTATCCTGGATTTTTACCCTTTATATGACGTCACACTTTGCTTACCAAGAGGATTTGTTGTAGGATTCTTTCTGAACGGTCCTGGTGTTCAAGTTTATCCACATTTCTTTGTTTTAAAATGTCATTAATACAAGGAATATCCGTTTATGAAAAATCCGAACTGAGTGTATAAATATTTTGCATCGGAAATATATTGTTACGTATCTGTTTGTTTGTTAATTTCCGGTACAAATTCTTTCCGAGGAACTTCAGTGATACAAGTCCTTTCTTGATTCAACCAGTTTATTCTTTCTCGACACAAGTTTTTGTAATACACAGGATTTCCACAGTCACTTTAAACTTAACAAATTTTATAACACGATATAAATCAGTGATTCACACACTTTACTTACGGTGCCTACTGTTCGCTTAACTCAATTATCTCTCTTTTCAATTCCGCTGGTTTTTCTCGCCAGGCTCATATATTAAAAAAAGAGGGCATCTCGATCAGACTAGAGTTGCCGGGCAAATTCATGATCCTTCGAGAAACTCCAGCGCGTATGCTCCCAGGTCACGTGACCTCCGCCGTCGTAACAATATGTTACATGGCCTTAACAAACGCGATTAATTTATGTTATTATCATGACTACTTACAAAACGCCAATATCTAAACTTAGTTGTAATGTATGATGTTCCACCATGACTTGTTGATTTGCATATTCAAAATCATTTAACACAAAGTAATTAATCCTTAATTATATATATATGTATGTCTACTTTATTTTGAGGCCTGTCGTGGATAGAAAAATGGTTCAATTCCTCTCCCTGTGATATTTTCTTACTTTTCTCCTTTGACCAAAAGCTACACACACAAATACCTGAATTAAGTGATTAATATAACCATAAAAGTATTTAAGTGGCATTTTCATTTCTCACTATATTCTCCAGGTGTCGTTTAGAACTCTTTGTTTTTTAGAACAAAGCCACATTGGGCTACCTGCTGTGTCCGCGGTGAGTAATCGAAACCCAGATTTTAGCTTTGTAAGTTCATAAATTTACCACCTTCCCATTGGAACTGATACAAATGTAATTATGCAGGGTAAAATTATAAATTTCAGATGCAAAATACAATAATTCTCCTTGATAAATTCAGATTTGTAGACAGCAGTGTTAAAGGTACAGTAAATTTTTGATTCCCGAGTGGTTTTTTGTTTACTTCTTCACTAACTTTTCCAGCATATGTTCCCTATGGTTCAAAATTGGCCATGTCCGTATTAAGTGCTGACAAACGAAGTTCATACCCATGATACCTGTAATTCATTAGGCTTGGTGTTGTTTTCCATTCTCTTCAATCTTAATGCGCTCACTGGCTGTCATTTGGTGTTTTCGTTGTATTAAATTGGCAAGGTAATGTTCGAGGTTGTTTAGAATTGATTTGAATCCATCGGGATCTTTAATGTGTTAGTTAACGAGACTTGAACGTAACATAGAAGCTTGACTGTGACCTGTATAGTCTAAAATGAATTGTACGAGATATCAACAACTTGAGAGATAAGTAGGCCAAACATAAAGTTGGCTCTTTACATGAAGAACAGCCCTTAAACATTTACCGTGGGTATATTGGCAAACTCGGCTGTGAACTTGCTCTCTACCACAGCCAAATCAAATATCCCATCACATCATACATAGCACATGGATGGAAATAGGATCCTAATCTTGGCATTGTGCCACACTCCTTTGATGGATCTACAGCGTCAGAGGAGATGAATTCATAATATTGTTCATTAGATGAAAAAATGTTTTTAAAAGTAAATAGTTCATGAAATGTTGTATACCTAGCTCCATCTCAGAAATTGAATTACTACGAAAATGGAATAGTTTGTAATTGGAACAAAGCTACACAATGGACTATCTGTGCTCTACCCACCACGAGTATCGAAATCCGTATTCTAGCGTTGTAAGTCCGCAGACATACCACTGGGGCTAAAATACATTAATATTTGTTGTTCATATAGATATATATAATAGAAACGTCAATGTTCTTATTATAATATTAATGTCCCTTCAAGGCACTAATGACACACATTATATGTGCCTTTTAATAAGTGAGCCAAACATACTTTAGTCAAATTAAGACCATTGAAATATATCTGGTACAATACATTTTTTGACCTACTTAACGAGCATTAGTAACTCCAATGGTCTCAGAATTAGCAAAAATAAACATCTGGAAATTGAAATCTTTAGAGGAAAAAACATTCATTAACAGTGTTTCTCCCCAACTTTTCAAATTGAATAAGTATGAGATAGTTTTTATTATTGTAAATACAGTTTGATGGGAAAAAAAGCAATTTCCATTGTTTAAAATCATATTTTTAGTAACTTAATGTTTTATTCCAAGTAACTTTATAGTCTCCTTTCTGGTTTAAAAAAAATCCCTAAATTTGTCAATTCTAAGCATTTAAACTCCCAAAATCCAAGCAATATTTAATCTTTGAATTTACTCACATTTGTGAAACATTATTCTGCTTTCTGACAATGGCAATTTTCCCAGTTACATGTAAATAATGTAGAGGCAGTTGAAACAAAGTATCCATAATTACATTTCTGGGTTGTTATTATGAATGACATATAACTAAGTGAAAACACCGAAAAACTTGTCAGAAGGGGGACAAACCCACACACACATTCTTTTCATAACAAAAGTTTTATTGATTTGTAAACCTACATGATTACATCATGGATGATGATATATTACAGTGTGTACAACATAAAGGAATGATTGAGAATAAACATATCAACACAGGTTTGTGTATCTGGCTTGCATTGATTTCTTGACTGCTTCTTTGTAGGAATCACTGGCTGTTGTTCCACATGTGGATCCTGCCATCCCTAATCCAGCTCCTGCTACTCTTCTTTCTACCTGGACAATATCAGAAACTCCCTCATTAACTCGACCCAGTCCTTGTCCTTCAGACCAACCCATGGCTTTCAACATCTTGTTACCAATATTATCGCTTCCTATTCCTTCTTTTGTAGGTTGTTCATAAGGCCTGTGAGGAAGATAAAGATTAACGATTCACTGGATTCTCAGCTTCTGTCACATTAACAAAATTTAAGTTATGTGCACCTGAATTCTGCCATGCCAACTTAGTTTACCTACCTTACAAGTCACTCCAAGATTATCTGTGTAAAAAACTTTCAAGACAGTCTGACAACTAAATGATCACCATACACACAGATCATTTATTTCTTACACAGGGAACAATTAAATTCAATATTATAGTTAACAGTGTGATAAAGCCCTGGACTCCACACACACACATTTTGTTAAGTACTGCAGTATTAGGTTAGTTTGAATGGGTGTGTTCACATACTGCTCTTCAGTGCTGAAAATTAACGTAACAGCATGGTAACCATCCAGGTCACAAAATGTTATAAATCTATGAATCTTGTATATTTTCTTTTAGGAGTGTAATAATAATAGTAGTTGATTAATCATTTCAAGAACTGAATACCAACATAAAAATGCTATGCCTTTAAGATGCACATATGTACATCTAATTTCAGTTTCAGATGGGCTTTTTTTTCTCACTGTTTACACATGGGTTCAAGCATGGTATTGTGTCACTAAAAATATATTATTCTGTAATTATTAATAGCACTTATTGCAAAACTTGCTACCACACACACATGTATTAATACTTGGTATTCATATAAATGTATCTTGTTAACAGTTTAAACAAACTAATTCTTTTTAAACTGAAAATTCATCAATTTTCTGTCATGTTAAACCTTTGCTGGTATCTTCTAAAAGTTGGTTATGTAAAATTCTTTTATAAACCAGAAAGAATGTCCTAATGGCTGTATAACACAAAGGCAAACTGGAGGTGAAACTATATGGACACACTAATACAAAAAAAAAAACCCACTAACTTTTGCCACGATCATTATCACTGGATGATTTTGTGTTTTAATAACACAATAAATACAAAAGACAGGTATAATTTATGTTTAACGTAAGAACCTTCACAACATAGTATAAAACTATATATGCTATGTATTAGGGTTACTAAGATGAAATAATACAATAAGACTATTTCAAATCTTGTTATGAATAATCTGTATTATTTCACCTTACTAACCCAATATATAGTACATATACTTCCCAAGGTTAGCTACGTGCTCTCTTGTAAACGCACTCACATTAAACATAAATTTTAACTGTCTTTTACAAGACTTTGGTAGATCCGTAACTGATACCATTAGTGAATATATATTTAGTCATTATTTTCTTCTGGCGGTAACATATGCGTGTCTTTTGTGCTTCTCATGTCTAGCAATTATCCGGAAAGCCTCAAAACACGACTATTAAAATAGTAAAGTACGTTTTTCCATTGTATATGATTGAATTATCATCACTCCTGTGCAAAATCAAGAATGTATAAGAACTTACTAGTGATGCCTCTTGGAGACATGTGACCTTCATTAAATACTGTACAATTTACAGATGCTTAACCAATCTCACAGCATGATTCAAATGGTCAAAAATAAACACTAACACAAAAGGTTTTTATTATTTGCTTTCAATTCCAAACTATTTATAGAATCAGCACAAGCAGTACTATTACTAAAAAAGTTATGTAAAAAAAAACAAAAAACAACTGATCTTGTTTACACGTTTTTAGCTAACACATACAGGGGTTGGACAAAATAATGGAAACACCTTGAAAAATCAACAAAATATATTTTAATATGGTGTAGGTCCACCTTTTGAGGCAATTACAGCCTCAATTCTCAGAGGTATTGATTCATACAAATTGTGAATTGTTTCCAAAGGAATTTTAGCCCATTCTTTAGTTAAAACACCCACCAGTTCTTTTAGAGACGATGGCGGCGGAAATCTACTTCTTACTTGAATCTCTAAAATCGACCATAAATGCTCAATAATGTTGAGGTCTGGGGATTGTGGTGGCCAGATGAGATGCTCAATTTCA